ATCGTCCTTTCCAAAGCGCATTGAGTAACGCTGACAGCATGCTCATCCTGCATTCGTAGAGTCCAAGTCTCCGAGGCGTACGTCAAAGTAGGAAGAACAGCAGTGTCGAAAGGTGAGCGCGGAGCCGGATGTTCCTTGTCTTTTTGCTACTCCCTCGATATTCTTGAATGTTCCCCACGCGGCGCATCTCCTTCTGCTTAGCTCCGGAGCTAGATCGTTAATTATGGTGACTTGCCGACCGAGATACACATTGCTAGAACACTCGGAGATATTCGTTCCGTTCACCGTGAAGGGAACATTAAGTACCAACCCGTTCTTCATAAACATCGTCGTTAAATTCAGTCTAAAGCCGATATTTCCACAAGCATTGTGAAACTCGGCCAGCAATCGTTCCGCCTGCTCGATGTTCGGTGTTATAAGCACGATGTCGTCTGCAAAGCAGAGGTGATGTAAGTAGCACCCGTCGACCTTCACTCCCACGTCTTCCCATTCCAAATGACGCATGATATTCTCGAGAGCGGCACCGAAAATTTTGGGAGAAATGGTATCGTCCTGCCGGGCTCCTCTTTTCAAATTGATAATGACTTCCTTGTGGAATGGGGAAATCCTGGTCGTGAAGTTGTTACAGAGCTAACAAAGCATCCTTATATCTTGAGTAGAAACACCCTGTTTGCCCAGGGCTGCAATTACCACTTCTGTTTCAACGGTGTCAAAGTCTTACTTCAAATCGATGAAAGTAAGACATAACGGCATTTTATACTCTCGCGATACTTCACTGAGTCTTGTAAGAGTGTGGATATGATCGATTGTGCTAAACCCTACCGCGTGAAAAGCCTAGCCAGAGTTCTGACGACAGCTGGTGGAAGACTATTCAGATATTCTGGTTTGATCTTATTGGGACCGGGCGCCGTACTGTTCTTCATTAACGTGGAGCATGTTGTATTTTGGAAGGGAGAACCGAAGAAACGATATATTCGTTTTGCCTAAAATGGTGGGTTGGCAGGTAGACGTGGTTCGAAGAGATGTGAGTAGAAGTCGTAGATGACCTTTTCTGTTGTCCTTTGAGAAGCAGTAACTGTTCCGTCGGGACGACGAAGGGGAGTCATCTTGGTTTTGTAATTTGCGAAGCTCCAACGGGATTTGCAAATATTCTTTCCGGCCTCGGCGGCTTTGTCCATAATTGCTGCTCTTCTCTCTTTCAGATTTTTTTCTATCGGTTCTCTGCATGGCATCGCAAAGTCGAACGTTTGTTGACGATTGCCTGTAGCTCGCGTGATTCCACGCTGGCGCATCAGCTCGAAAGTCTTCGAAGTCGTCTCTTGGCTGCTTGTAGACTCTGTTTTCCTAGCGCTATCGTAAAGATGTTCGACGAGCCGCTTGTATTCTTCATCTATGTTGTCTATAACGGAATCTTCCCACTCACTCGCAAGGGAAGCGACGTGTTCCAAGTTGATGGAGGTCTTGTGGCTTCGTTTCCTAAACTTCTTAGCTCTCTCTTCACGCACTATGAAGC